AGTTGATTTTTGTGGAGGGATGAAAACTGGAGAAACCCTAAGAAAAACCCTCAAAGCGCAGGAGAGAACCAACAAGCAACTCTACTCATACAAACATACAAATATACAATGCCAAGCCTGGCAGGACTCGAGTCACATTGGTGAGAGGCAATTGCTCTCTTGCTACACCACCATACTTCCCATAAAACCATGGTCAATATCAAATATTTGGTTATTAAAAAATCAAAACTTGTAGCAGAATGTGGTCATTGGTATCATACTCTCTTGCTATCACTTGGAATATGATAATTGCTTCATCAACATCATCATCATCAACATCATTTCTGTAGCAATTGCTGGTGTTTCTCATTCTGGCCCCACCCTCCCTTCCTTCGGGGTTAGATATGATGAGCAGAAACAAAGGTTGCAAAGGTTGACCCATGATGAGGTTGCCATGGTCAACTCTTGGTAGTTACATGTACTAGCCTTGCTTATCGCCCTGTTTGATGTTAGGCACCTACTCTTCAACCTTTGAAGTGACAAGAACAAACTCTTTTTATTTGTTCTCTATCTCAACAATATTGACAATATTCAACTCCAAATCTTGGGAATACTGCACCTCTTCATAAATATTATTTGATATTCATGAATAAGAGGCAGAAGGGTTATCTCATGTTACAGGTACATGTTTGTGGCTCTTAACCATTGTACATAACTTATATAAACTCTTATTTCCACAACAAAGACTTACAAGGTCTCATCCTCTCTGTAATGTATAATAGCATGTTTTTCTCCACCCGTTCCTTGTGCTTGATAATCAAAGTATTTCACAAACGCTGATGCAAAGCAGTTCCTCTTCATCAAGGCTACTTTCTTGATTAATTCCTCTGTGGAAAGATAAATAAAATGAATTTGAAGTGTTATGTTATGGGAAGGAATTAAAATAATAATAATAAAAAAAGGGAGGGATGGAAGCAGGGCTAGAAGTACTCTCAACCCTCCCACTTTTAATAATTTAAACATACATGTTAGTGGGAACAAACAAATTTTTTTTTGAATTTTTTTATACAAAAAGTATTATCTTACCTTTCTCATTGTCAGCAGGCAAGTTTTCTAGATCAAAGAGCAATGACACATCATAGCCTGAATAATAAATAATAATAAAAATTAATTGTAATTTTACATGAAAAATAGGTTTCTTAACTAGAAAGGAAATCACAGCTGGTTGGCTCTGTTGGCTCAGTTGACCATCATTGACTGTTTTTAGGGAGGTCGTGGGTTCAATTCCTGGCTGGATCAAAATTCATGGTTTTAAGATAACTGAGGAGAAATTCTGGCCTTTTGTAATTACTCGTATAACATTTACTTCTAAATGTCAATTGTAATTCAGTGGAAGAAGAGATACTCTTTAGAAATGTCAATGCTAAATGAATTATTTTTAATTTATGCACTAACTATGGCAGTAACTGTTGCATTCGTTAAAGTCATGAACAAGAACACAGTGGTATTTGACAAATTCAAACATGGCCTATTCTGGAAAGGAAAGAAAGTCTACCACATACCTTGTTCAGAAGTTGTCACATAGTCTCCATAAATCTTCTTCATTAGCTGGCGAAAAGAAAAAAAAACAAAACGGGTTCACAGTAACGTCCGCTTGAAACTAAATACTTTATTTTATTTATTTTATTTATTTTTGCCTATAGATCGGTTTCAGTCACGTGATCATTTTTTGGGCAGCCGCCATATTGGTGTACATCACGTGTCATTGCAGTGTAAGGGAATGTAGGCGAGAAGTTACTGTGAGGATGGTTTTATGCACGATTTTTGGCTGTGGGAACAGAGCTGGTCGAGATAAAGGCATACATTTTGCTAGAGTCCCTCAAGTGGTCACTAACCAAGGCAAAGATGCTCAAACACTATCAGAATTGATGAGTAGAGCTGACCTCACAGAAACTTTCTTACGAGATGGCCAAGTCTGGAAAACATTTCACCTATGGATGTTCTGCAAAATCATGGGATCGATATAACCCTGACTGGGTTCCCTCAATTCATCTGGGACACAGAAAAAACTTGTCAGGGGAGAATCTAGAAACAACGCTTGAAGCTACATCGAAACGAGAAGAAAGAGCATGTTGTCTTGACCAAAAGCAAGGGGAATTTGAGCGACTTCAATTGAAAAAATGTTTTTTGAATTTTTGAATTTCAAAATTTTTTAATAAAGACCGGTGAGCAGCACTACTGATGCGAGTTCTGATTGTAAACTACTTATTAATCGTTCATTCGTTAAGATTGTTGAACTTCAGCAAACACTAGAAACTTATTGCATATTTGATGCCCTTGCATGCTGGTGACAAATCCACTAACCAGCTGGTTAAAAGCCTCTAGACTCTAGACTAGAAGCTTCATGTTTTAAGGACTAAATAACACAAAATATCCACCTATTCGACTGGCAGGAGACAATCTGGTTCGAAGACTTTCCCCTTCAGAAGAACAGGGTCAATTCTGACACTTCCAATTTTCTCCAAATATCGTGCTTTTACAGCAGAATCAAGCTTTTTTGTGTACTCAGATAATGGAAGAGAACTTAAACGATCCTTAGACTCTTCTGGATCTTGGAAAGATGTGGAATTTGAGCTTGATTCCATGAAGAAACTTACAATAATTTTTCTTTCGGCTTGCGTTTGCATAGATGTACATGTGATTATGAAACCTGATATTTACACCAATATGGCAGCTGCGATGCGTGTGACGTCACAGGAAAACAAGCTATAACAGGTTCTGCAGAAGTCCATCTCCAATTTTTGAACTTGCAAAACAAATTTGTTAGTGACTTTTGATCTTGGTTTCCATCCAAAATTGCAAATGCATGAGATCTGAAACTTGCACACCCTGGCAAACTCTTGAATTGTGGAACAAGGCAATGCTTTTCTATAAATAGACCAAATTCAAAACTCGCACTGATATGAGGCTTAAGTTGTGAACAAAGGGATCTGGCATGACTCAAAGTAATCTGGCGTGATTCAAAAGTCACAAATCACGCCAGATTCCTTTGTTTTCTATTGGCGAGTACTCTTTACATATCAAATTTGAAGTTGATTGGACTAGACTGTAACTTAAACTCATAGAAATTCATGTTTAAAACACAGATTTCAGTACTGTTTTAACCAAGCATGAGGAAAGAGTCCAGTTGTATTTGTTTGAATTTGTAATACATGTAAAGTGGCCCTGAGCATTAAACCTAGTCTGTGTCAGATACTATAAGTCTTAACCCTTAAGCTTTTTAAAAGTTGCTCTGGTTGCATGAAGAGGCTATAGTGCTATCCATTGGATAAATCCTTATTCAGTGGATACATGTACTTTTATTAGATAACAGCATTATTTTATCCTCCGGATAAAGATTAAACCAACAGATAGACCTATATATCCAATCTTTGTGCAATCAGTCCCAAAAGATAAGCCTGCCAATCAGAGGGATGTGTGCTTTTGTGTCTAACCTCATCTGCTCCATGTTGCTGGAGATCTCTGTAGAATTTCATGGTGATGCTGACCTGTCAAAGAAAAATGTTTAAATGTTTAAAATCGGAATCAGAAATTCAACTCATTTACTGTAACACTCAAGTTTAGAGTTCTCTGTTGCTCAGGGTTAGCCTCAACTTTGTGCAGAATTTCATGTGTTCCAGTGAAGGTCCATCAAATTTTCAAGTGTTTTTATTGTTGAAGTTGTGCACTCTTTACTTTACCGTCAATATTAGTGAATATTTTGACACTGATTCCAGGCTAGCCCTGAGTAAACGAGTCTGTAATCAAGAAACACAGYGGTAATTTGGAACTTGAAAATGGTCTATTTCCTGCGACTATTTTCTTCTTCAAATGTATCCCCTGTGCAAGGGTAGGTAATGTGTGTCATATTTACCTCATCTTGTACTCTGTGCAAGCAAAAAATCGTATTGTAGCCAGGGCTTTCGTTTACATTACAGAAACAGGGACAATCCCACACAGATCTACAACTACTTGTAGTCAAGCACAGGAATTGCAAATAAATGACTTACCATAATCTTTGATTTCTCTCCATTAGGATTAGATACATGAAACTGAACTCCATCAAAATCTAAAGCCAAAAACCAAATAATCAATTTACTGAAGATCAACGATAAGATAGCAAAACAGCAGTTTATTAGGATGGCAAATACAAAGTAATTTCAAGCAAAATATTAGTCAAAATAGCAAGGTCGATTATTAGCTTATAAAAAAACTACAAAAGATATAAGAAAGTAGGAACGAAGAACTATACTTCTAACGAAGAACTACTTCTGTGTATTTATTCTGTGTGTATTGGAAAATACAAGACATGTAGTTTCAAGCAAAATGTTAGTCAAAATACTGTACCAAGGTCGATTTTTAGCTTATAAAAAACTACGAAGGATATAAGAAAGTAGGAATATTTAATGAAGAATTACTTCTGTGTATATTTAGACTGCTTTTCACGTTAAACACTTAAATTATTAAGTTTAAGCATAAATATTTTTACACTGTAGTTCTATACAAAAGTTGTCTAATAAAATATTTGAAAGATTTCCACACACCTGCCACAGTAACGTCGACTGACTCAAACTTGCCACTGTTGGGAAAAGAAAAAATAGTTCAGAAGATTTATTGTTAAAATATTGCAGTGTTTATATGGCAAACTGTAGTTTCAGTACTTATGGACGAAAGAGGTGTGTACCCAGGAAATGACTTTCAAATCTCCTCAAATTCTCTCAAGAAATCGCGATAAAGACAAAACTTACCCCGCAAATTTCGCCCTGATTAAGTCCTCTATTACTCTGTTGCCTAATTCTAAGAGAATCATGGTGGAAAGGCAAGGAATTCAGCTTTACTCTGTTCGACTCGTAACAGGAAGCTTTGCTCGTCAGGATTCAAGATGGCGGAAGAAGGACCTCCTAGTCACGTGGTAATCGGCCTCTCTTGGGAGCAACTGAGACGGAAAAGTTAGTTGGGCTTCCTGTCTTTCTTTCGTTTATCTTTCTTTTTCTTTTCATTTTCGGGTTTCCATATTTCAATTCAATTCAATTCAGTTTTATTTTATTCACACACTTTATATAGAGTTGAATTAACAGATCATAATTGTTTATATTTACAATTATACTAGATTTTATAGAAAGCCATAAATAAATATTAAATGTAAACAGTTACCACAGTGAGTGTGCAATGATGGTTTATTTATAACAGGAGATTGCAGAAAGATGCAGACTACGGGAGGAAGAGTGGGAGAAAATGAAAGAAAAGTTAAATAATATTAATCTATTTTTTAAGCCGGCGGAAAAATTGGAGAAAACCCTTTGAATCAACTTTGAATCGCAATCCAGTTATTGAACCAAGAGACCATTGCCCCGGCCAGCGGTCTACACTATCTTTCATTCCCAAGAAGAAAAATAAGAATACAGACAAGAGAAGACTTAGAAGAAAGAGAAAATGAAAGAATGAAAATGAAATGGAAATGAAGAACTATGACAGCTACCTAAAAATAAATAATAAATAAATAAATAATAAATTTAAAAATAAATAAATAAATAAAATAAAATAATAAAAAACAAACACAAAAACAAACTGGTTACAAAATAGAATACTTTTAACTTATCTTTAATGGCAGTTTTTATTTCAATTTCGTTTAATATATTATTTAATTTATTCTGCACACTAGCAAGGTTATGATACAAGAGTAATTTTGTAGCGAATATTTCAAGCTATCCGATCATAACTCGTAGTTTATCGTTAAGTTTCTTTTCTCTGTTGAGTAACGTCGACATGTGTTTCTTGTACGCCTCGAATTCCTAAACAAAAAAAAAACAAAACAAAAAAAAAAAACGACAGATAGTACAACATGAAACAAATATCATTATTTTTAGAGCGCATGCAGTAAAACCATGAAATAAAAACCAATTTGATACTGACAAATAGTAGCTATTTAGTGACTAATAGTTGCTAACTCTCAATAAGCCTGAAGCGAGATGACGTTTTACCCCCGACTCTATACCATAATAGTTTTTAAAATTCTTTCATATTAATTATTCCTTAGAGAATACAGGAACAATAGTCATAATTAAAGAACAAAAGCAATGTGAAAAAGATTATGGTCTAGAGACGGGGGTAAACCGTCATCTCGCTTCAGGCTTATTAGAACATTCATTAAACAAAAGACACAAATGGTCTCTTGAGTATTTGTCTTTGTATGATGAATGTTCTGTTTAAAGTCGAGTTCGAAGACTTCAGGCATTTTTGTCGTTCCTGTTTTCTCTTCCCTTCCTTTTCTTTACTTTGTCTTTTCTTTCTGTTTCTATCTTTTTCTATTTCTTCTTTTCTTATCCTTTCCCTTCCTGTCCTCTCCTATCCCTCCCTTTTTTTCTTCTTCAGTTTGTCGCCTCTTTTCCCTTCGTTTTTTACCCTATTTAATTTGTTTCTTTTATTTTCTTTCTCTTCATGTTCTCACCTTTTGCTGATCGAGCGACTTTTTCTCGGCCTCCTCGAGTTGTTTCTTTAGTCTACGTAGTTGAGAACTAGTCGACATCGTCTCGAGTTCCGACCTGCATAAAAATAAATAAAAAATAAAAAAATAACGAAAAGTCATTCAAAATACTGAGAACGAATATGGGACATACATACGATATTAAAAAAAATACATCAACTTGGTTCATAGAGGATAACACTTGACAGCATTTCAATTGATAAACTCGTGGTCCCAATGTAATTACAAAGGCAGCACATTCTCTTACAACAGACCGATGCTCTTACCAACTGAGTTCACCGAATAGTGGTAATTAATGATAAGGAATAAATGAATAGCGAAAAGTGAAACAGAAATAACTCAGAAAAAATCTGAGTTGAAGATGGATGTGATTTGGATCTAAAGTCGGACGCTCTAAAACCACAGTGAGCGACTGGGAACTCTTACGGTGAACTGTACATCGTCTATGGGTGGCGTAGTGGTTTACCTCTCGTCTTTCACCGCTGTGGTCCAGGTTCTCTCCCTTTGCCACAAGGAATTTTCTCCGGGTTTTCCGCTTTTCCTCACTCCGTAAAAATCAACATGTGAATTGAGGGTTGTGTGTTGTGAATATTGAAAGTAGTGGTAGTGCGTGTGGAGAAAACCTCACGTAAGAGCCCCGTACGGGGAGTGATGGTTGTAAAATATATATATTTTTAATAGGTTATTTCTAATATTTCTCATATTTCTGTAAAATATATATTTTTTAATAGGTTATTTCTCATGTAAACTGTAATCCAGTAGTTAATGTGACATATGCCCTGCGATTGGCAGGAACTAGTTGAGCCGTAATGATATGTCTATACCTCCCTATATATGATTGCTCGAAAAATCTTCTAAAAGATTGTACAGCTTGCTTTCGATAGACGTCATTTCCGATCTCGTGCAGTGACAACAACATCATCAACATAATAATAAATAATAATAATATTTATTTATAAAGCGCAAATACAAATCTGTTCTAAGTGCTAGTAAACAAACGACAAAGACAACGACAAAATAAAATTATTTACAAAGAATATGCTAATTTGAAGAGATAAGTTTTAAGTTCAGTTTTGAATGAGGC